TCACATACCTGGCATGCTCCTGAAAGGATGTCAGGCAAATACCAAACCAGCCCATTGTTATGCATATCCGTTACCACAAAAGGCGAACTTTTATGGACAATAGGTGAATAGATGGGCAGGTACCTATTCAAGATTTTCTCTTCTGTTTTAGGACTTTGTCCGGTCAGGGCGGCGCCGATGGTATCGCAATACCTCGTGGCATCCCATGTTGTGCGGACTTGAAGAGATCAATCAACCAATTACTATGTGAGCAGGCGTGGCGCACTTGGGTGTTTGAAAGCCTCAACCAAAACAACAACTATCCCATTGCAGTCATCCAACAGGTCCAGTGTCCAGTGCAGGGGAAAGGGTGTTTTTTGTGCTGTTCCATGGAGGGTAGCATGGAATTTAGCTTTGAGAAAGTCAGCTATTTCTTGAGTGAGCTTGAAACTACTCAAGTCTTGCAGCATCGCAGCAAGACCGGGGAAAATGGGTGGGGAATATTGACTGGTTGGCGAAGAAAAATGTGGTTGCCTGCAGGTGCAACAACGAGGCTGCCGCCAACACAGATGTACAACAGGTAAATAGTATATCTATTTAACTTTCTCCTACGTGGTCCCCCACAGTTATACTAACGAGGCAGCACTCTGGTTAACTGCATCAAAGACAAATGGGCGCAACAATGGGATCCACGCAATTGGGCGCAACCCATGGGCGCCAGATGTACAACAGGTAAATATTTAACTTTCTCCTACATGGTCCCCCACAGTGATACTAACGAGGCAGCACTCTGGTTAACTGCATCAAAGACAAATGGGCGCAACAATGGGATCCACGCAATTGGGCGCAACCCATGGGCGCCAGATGTACAACAGGTAAATATTTAACTTTCTCCTACATGGTCCCCCACAGTGATACTAATGAGGCAGCACTCTGGTTAACTGCATCAAAGACCAATGGGCACAACAATGGGATCCGCGCAATTGGGCGCAACCCACAACAGGTAAATAATATATCTATTTAACTTTCTCCTACGTGGTCCCCCACAGTGAAACTAACGAGGCAGCACTCTGGTTAACTGCATCAAAGACGAATGGGCGCAACAATGGGATCCGCGCAATTGGGCGCAACCCATGGGTGCCAGGGGCAAAGTCGGCCGATCCGTCCTCTATGGGGTTCTGTACTCGTGGCCCACCCATCTCGCATGGCCTATTTTAGAGTCTCGGCCCAGTCATTGCCAAGGCCGAATTTTTGACAGCTCGGCCGAGTCCGCTGGCCCACTGTTGATGGGCGCCTGTCACACGCCGCTGGCCCATCAGTGATGGACCCATTTGACTGCCCTAACTGAGGGTCTCTCATAGTTGTTGGTGGAAATAATGGGTCTGCTTGGGTCTACGACTCCTGCGTAGGTCTACTTATGGTTCTTCCACATGGACAAGGTATTTTAATTTCCTTTAGACCTATTCTAAAGCTGAGAGCTCTTACAAGTTGGAACACTAGTGCAGATTGTTACAGTAACTTCCTTCCATTGGTTGTATCATTCTCAAGAATTCTCATTTGCTGAATAGACATATTCCTCTTCAGATGGATACCTTATCATCACAGGCTCCTCGGACTCAAACAGTGCTGCCATCAAGGTTTGGGAACCTGCTAAGGTAAAGTACTTTGAGCGCTATTGTAATTCATGACAATTTCGAATAAGAGTTTTCCCTCCTAGGTTGAGAATGTGATCCCACCGGTCCAGGTCCAAGCCCAACCTCACCACGCCACATCTAACTCCTTGAAATTATGGCAGGCCATTGCACTGGTTGTGACCTTGTTGGTTGGTCAGTTCATAATAACGGTCTGATTCTCTAAATAGAGTTCACCCCATGAGTAACTTTGATTATCCTGTGAGTGGCCCTTTCACCGGGATATTCGCTTCGTTTCCTGGAAATATTCCAAATCTGGCATTTGCTTTGTCTTTTTGACAGATTTGATGTCGGATTATATATATGTTGTTGTATATTTACGCAGACCATTTTCCAAGTATGGCTTCAATACGGATTTTGAAATTGTTCACTAATATATTCTATATACGGATTTTGTACCTGTAAGAAGCTATGAAAGTATGATATATTAGGCTACATATTTTTTGTTTGTCCTAAGATTTGTCAACTTTTCGAAGGAATCAAACACAATTATAATAAATTTTGATGGAAATTTAAAAATACGACAATAAGATTCGGCCCTCGGCGGAATTGGTTGTCGGACTAAAAATCTTATAATGAGTCCGTCTTATCAACAAACAATAGTCAAAAATGATTAATTTGTCCTTGCATCTGTCAATCTCTTCGCTTAGTTGTCCGATCATCCCTTGTTTCAGGTGTGGGGAGGCGCAATGCCTGCAACTGATTTGACCGGATGACTAAGTGCACAGCCACACAAATCCTCTCGTTTTATCTTCCCAAATAATTTCCTCATGTTCCACTACAATCAACATTCTGCACAACGACCAGCTACTCTCATCACTCTGAACGTTTTTGCAAGCTCAACCGGCTACTTTGGGAGCTTCTACGAATTTGTGTCAGTGAGCATCTTCATATTGCGACGGCGCGTAATTACGATCTTTGACCGATCCAAATTCCACCGTTACTAACTGCTTTGCTGGACTGCCAATTTTTTTTCTAATTACAGGAGACAATTGCATCGACCGTTGTCTACAACCATTGAAGTTGGGGCTGGAGTCCTTCGTTCACATTGAAGTGGTTCCTCGCTCCAGACGCGCTCGCTGCTCTTGTTGTTGAGGTTGCCTGAAACAGTCATCAAGCGCATAAGGAACACCCTTGGTACGTCGCCTCGTTCCTTGTGCGTTTCTTTGAAACACACTTACAAACGCCCACCAGTTTGCGATCTTCTACGCAATGGCCACCGTCACTCGTCCAAAGGCGCCCATACATACAAGATCAAGTCCACTGCTGTCTACCCATGTTCCCTCGCCTTTTCCTCATGAACAGCTTCGACAATTGCAGGCAGATGACTCTTTCTTTTCGGAGGATCTTTTTGTTTCGTCTGAAGAGCAAGTGGCAGAACCTCCACAAGCTGCAGAGTCCGACAGCGACTCGCGTGGCGTACATGTGAGTTGCGAAGATTTTACACCGAAGTTTCACTCATTTTGTGAAGGGCGACGTAATGCCTTCAATTGCGTTGGTTCAAAGGTCGTGCTTGATGACATTAAACAACTTGTTATCCGTCCCAACGGGGTGGAATCCCATTGTTCCCGACCGTCGACACTCCATGCCATCCAGCCCACACAATACCACATTTCCACAAGGCGAGGCTGAATCATCGTCCTCTGCCTTGCATACCCTTGTCATCAATCTTCGAAATCGTGGCAGGGACGATGAAATGATCGAGGCCCGTGATTCCGTCAATGATTCTGATCTCATCAATGAGCTTAAGACACGGGTGAAATCCATCTCATCTTCCTTGCAGCCCAGTGAAGCGATTCTTGCGAAATCTCTCGTCTCTTTACTGTCAAACCTCAACAGACTCTCTGTTATTCAATCAGGCATGCACCTAACCACTCTTGAAACGCCCGAGCCAGAGTCTTCCCGCCAATACGACGAACCCCCTCCAATTGATCATTTTGACGCACTCAAGCGTCAGCTTAATGAGTTGCAGACAGAACGTCTTGTCTCTCAGGGTGGAATGTCCACTCCGGGCATACCTACGACCCTTGAGGTCGAAGTTTCCTTGTTATGGACAAGAATCGATCAAGAGCTCGAAACCGTAGTCTCAATGTGCAAAGAGCATACGGAGAACCTTCCGAGATTTTTCCAAGATAATCTTCCCCCTCAATATGACTATGAGGACTTTGATTTGGAAAGTCCGCCCATTTACGAGCCTGGCGGTCGTAGCTCAATAGATGACAGCAAGGGTAAGACGGCACAATACCAGCCTTCGTCTAGCACACGTCAGAGCGACGAGAAGATGCGGTTAGATCTAGAGGCCGTTGCAATGGCGATTGACAGACTCTACCTTGTTGCGCCGCAGCTTCACAATCAACGAGTCGAGCTCAAATCTTCGAAGCTCGTTCAGATGGAGAAAGCTCGACAACAAGGCGTTTCGCTGAGTAGCAAAGGAAAGGAAAGGGACGTGAAGGAGCTGGAGAACATTCTTGACCTTCTCGGGAAAGCTTCGGATAGGTCCCTCAAAGGTCAATCCGTTATTCTTGATGGTGGCATGCGGAGCAGACTAGAGAAGGCGAAACTTCGTGATGTAGCCAAGGTCAGTGATGCATTGATGATCCAATGCTTCTGATCCCCGATCTGATGCGTTTTTCTTATAGAGGGACGCGTTTGTTGAACAATTGGTTCGACACTCGGGTGCTGGTCGAATTTACGGCCAAGACGCGATACTGCATCCTCGTGTCAAAGATCCAGAGGCTCTTCTAAGTCTTCCTGAATTTATTCGAGAGGGCTTACCCCCAAACTCTGAACGACTGAAGGATCCAGAAACTCTTCTGACTTTACCAGAGTTCGTGAAAGAGCTGCCTCCAGTTAGGCAGGACGAAATCACGCTTCCTCCTATACCAACTACCAAATCGAAGAAGAGCAGGAGTCGAAGCTTATCTGCGCCTCCATTATCTTGGCTGCGACCATTGTCATCCTCGAAGTCTAATTCAAGCCAGGGTAGCAGCTCTGGTATCTCCAGTGTTCAGTTGCAGCCAAAGTTCGGAGATCAAAGTACCTGTCCGTAAATTTCTCGTCCCTCTCAAGGTTTACGACTGACATTCATATTCTAGCCTTTGATGTCGTATACGTTGCGGAGAACCACGAAAACTTGCAACATGTGCTCGTTTTCTTCACGGTGACTGGCGGATACCCTGGCGTTGACTTGGAAGCCGAAGTATTGCCCCCGTTCCCTGAACACCCTTCAGAGGGAGGAGATCATCTCCTCATCAAATCCGGCCCCTACTGCTCGCTTCCGCTCATGCTCCCTGCTCGGACGACCCCAGGAAAGAAAGAAATCCAAGTTCAGAGTGGACACTACGAAATCAGACTTTCGACTTTACCCTCATCATCGTCCTCCGAGACTGCAGAATCACCAACACCCCTGCTTGATGCTTCCCACCTGTCGTCGATGAATCCCACATCCTTCATTTGTGCCTCATGTTCCCTGCCTCTCGTTCAGTCTTCAAAGATTGACCATTATCGTGATCTACCGTCGGAACATTGGGAAGAGCTAGTCGAGGCCTGGATGTGTCATACCGACCAGTCCCTCCACGAGCAAGTGGTCAAGACTGGCAAAACTGGGTTTTGGCCGGCTCCAGGTCAGGCACTTGTGGGAGGAAGCTATATCTTGTTCGACAACTCCGCGATGTCTACAAATAACCTATACCATGCGAAAGAAGCTTCGGTGCGTCCTACATTACTTTATTTCATACTTTATAGTAGTTCGGACGACAAAGAAGACTGGCGTTGGTTGCCTACCAGCGACTGATGTATCCATTGTATGCCCCTTGCGATGCTATTGCTTTGGCAGAACTCGAAGCCCCTGGCAGGTTCTGGGTTTTGCTGGGGCTTTGGCTAGCTTGTGGATGTGCGTGGATGGATCAGCATACCGGTTGATACAACGCGTCCTAGATTGATTCTATTTCCTCGCTCAAACAACCCTCATGTATATAGAGGCTTCCGTCGTGAGAGCTACGCTTGAGGACACATCCTTTCTTCTTCTCTCTGTCTCTTATTTAGTTTGCTAATGCCACCTATCTATAGCGCGAAGATAACTGGCACCTTGCACGATGTCTATGCGGCGCTGTCTTTGGGAGATATCAAGAGAAAGCTTCAGAAGAAGGCGACGTTCGTACAGCCTACCGAGTCCTCAAATACGCAGTCCGTCCTGTCAGCTCGACAGCCGAGTTAGTTGCTCCTTTCTCACCGCATGGCTCACTCTAACACGCATCCAGGTGTTTGAAGATACCACTGTCTGCATTCATCGTGGAAGATATGACTGAATTTGTTCAAGCTCATGCTTCGTATCGGTTCATCATCAGCGATGAGGAGGAAGAACGGCCGCGAATCCTTGTAAGTCCTGCCTGCTGTTTGGCTAATGGATCACATCGGTTTTAATATTGTTCCCCCCCCTCCAGATGTGGTTATTCAAACCGCGCATCCGCCTCGCCTATACCACGCCCACGTCCCGCGCGATCCCCAAGAGTGCTTCGGTTATGGCCGCGAAGGTCCTTTATAAACTCATCTCACCGTCTGATGCGAATGTTGATTTGAAAAGGTACTCATTCTCACAATATAGCGATTTAATACGTGGTATTGAAAACCCTTTCCAGCCTCCTCAATAAATACCCAGGATTCCCTCAAGCTGAATATCTCTCATACCCGATGTCTATCTGTCGTCGCCTTGCTGGATTTTTGAAGCAGAGTAATACCGCATACCCGGAACGGTTGCGCATGATGACTGGCCTTGAAGTTGGTTGGCTGCAGCGTGCGTGAATTGGCCAGAACTTTCAGCTCTATTTATTTCGTATCTCTGCTTTGCGTTTCATAAATATCCATATTTCACCCTGCTTTGTATACGGTATGACTACTCGAAATTTAACAGTGTTCGATAAGTGTTGCCATATCACAACCAGGGTCGCAGATCTCGAGCAGGATCGCTGAAATGAGGTCCAATATTCGAACGGCGAGCCGCGATGGTGATGGCACTTTAGAGTCACTGACCATATGCCGCGATCATGCCCCTCGAGTGGCCATTGTTCATAAATTCTCTCTTTGTTCTCTGAGACAACCCACCCACTGTACCTTAGCCACCTCTGGCACGACCGTAGGAGACCAATCGCCATGTCCACCCCAGCACTCCAAGAAGAAAAAGAAGAACCCGTCATCCCGCTGTTCGCTGAACGACCTGAATGGGCGGACGTCGTACCACTGGAACAATACGAGGGCGTGAACCCGCTAGCGCCGATCTTGTATTCGCCCGTATGTGAGTGCTCTTTTAGACAGTCTATCTTGGGGGGTTAGATGACGGTGTGTGGCAGATAAAGACGCGACGAATTATTTCCGCGGGATCGTGAGGACTGGGGAGAAGAGCCAGAGGGTGCTCGAGCTTACTGAGGCTGTCATCAGGCTTAATCCTGCTCATTACTCTGCTTGGTGTGTTTTGCTTTTCTCTCTCGGATGGGGATGAGATGTTCATTGATATGGTATGGTGTACAGGCAATATCGATACGAAACTCTACTATCCATCAACGCGCCCCTCGACGTCGAACTCAAACTAATGGACGAACTCGCGGTGAAGTACCTAAAGACATACCAAGTCTGGCACCACCGCCGCCTCTTACTAACCATCACCCGCAAGCCCGCGCAAGAACTAGATTTCATCACGCGCTCGTTAACGGCGGACACGAAGAACTACCATACATGGTCCTATCGCCAATGGCTGCTGGCGTATTTCAACGATGAAGACGAACTGTGGACGGGCGAGCTGGATTTCGTGGATGCGATGCTGGCGCAGGATGTTAGGAACAATTCGGCGTGGCATCATCGTTTCTTTGTCGTTTGGGGGTGTGGTGTTAGGGAGGGAGAGGAGGATAGGGGGAGGGTGTATAAGCGGGAGTTGACGTACGTTCTTTTCTCTTTCTTTCTTTCCTTCATCCCCATCCCGTTTCACGAATTGAATGTGTGGCAGGTACGTGAAACAGAACATCTCACTCGCGCCAAACAACCTCTCTGCATGGAACTACCTCCGTGGGATCATGGAACACACGAAGACGTCGTTCGCTAGCGTGAAGGCTTTCGTGCGGCCCTACACGCTCCCTATCGACCCGACCTCCGTCGATATCGTGGATCTGGAGAACCCGCCCCCGACTAAAGGAGCCAACTTGCCTTGTCCGTCCGCTATTGAGTTTTTGGCGGATGTTTATGAGCAGGAGAAGAATACGTTGGAGGCGATCGAGGTTAGTTGGGGTTCTCTTTGAGACACTCGTCTATTTTTTTCTGATATGTTTGATGATTTAGCTGTGGACTTCGCTTGCTAATACACATGATGTGATTCGCAAGAAGTGAGTTTTGTTTCTTGGGTTTTTTATTGTGAGGGAGTCCCTGATGAATGTGAGTAGGTATTGGGAGCACAGGATCAGGGATGCGCTTGAGGCTTCAAGGATCTGAGTGAATAAGAGAAGTCGTTCCTTTCGTGAGAGCTGCAAGAGAGAATCGGTTGTGGTCTGTTGTAAATATTGTCGTTCTTTCCCATTATTTCGTTCGAAATGTATCCATCGGTTTCGCACTTGCATTTGGGGTTATTGTTTACAATCTCATTGTTTTCGACTGGCATGCTTCTGACAATGTGTGTAAGTACTTACATCGCAACAAGTACTTCTGTCATTGAGATTTTTGCGAACCTGAGTTCTCTTGGACAATAGATTTTGTCTACCGGTTGATGGACTGAGAGAAGTGTTGCTCTTCCAGGAATCTTTTACAAATTTCGTGCAAGCAGCATTCTTGAAGGTCGACTTGGGTTACACCTGAGCAAGTACTTCTATTGGTGAGGCGTACCAGTAATACTGCTGTAGAACTTGACGGCGTAAATACCAAAAATGGTTCTTTGCCCTTTTAGGAAAATTTTGATCAATATTATCGTCCATGAGGATCCCAAGCTGGTCAAAGCATCGATGCGATACTAGTTTGCGCAATAAGTATGTACTTCTGTTGAAATCCTGTTTTGAAATTCAATATCTGGGTGGGGGACAATAAATTTAGACTAGCCGTAATAAGTATTGCAGACGATGGGAGGAGGATGGAGTCAGGACCCGACTCGGCTTGAATGAATAGAAAAGCAATTGAACTTTTCTATTCATTGTTTGAGGCTCGAGTTGGAGAGTGAGCTTGCGAGCTCGAAACAACTCAAGCAGGGGCTTTGTAAGCGCAATGCGGTGATGTCCGCTTCACCACGTTCCGTGGTGTTGACAGCCTTCTGAGGTCTGTGCGCTGCGAGGATATAGTCATTCGAGAGGCAATGAAATCCTTGCCTTCTTCTCTTTCATTCCTACTTCCCCCCGCGAATTCTAACCTTCGCGGAATTTTTTCGATCTCATTTTAATTCATTAAAACTCAAAATGACTGAACTTGACACTTCACGTCCTCCTGCTGGCGCTGCTAATAAAGATGTCCCCTCTGATATGTCCAATGTTGTAATTGACCCCGTCGACACTACCAACAACCCGACCGACCCTCGTGTTACACCAGAGGAAGACATTAATCGCCCAAAGACTCCTCCCTCTGGGCCGTCTGCCCCCAGAATGACGCAGATATATGCGGCGTTGCAAGCTATATCTCCTGCTTCGCAAAAAATTGTTCGCGACACACTAACTAACACTCTGAAAGATAAACCCCCTCCCGATGTCATCGCCGTGACTCCCAAGCTTCTTTTCTCGGTCACAAACGAGACGACCTCGGCAGTCTCTACTTCCAACACGGGCTACGGCATTCATCCATTCATTATTTCCCTTGCCGAGAACGGTTCTCACATCCCTTTATCTCTTTTTACCACGGCCGCGACGAATACTCTACATACAAGCGAAGCTTCTATTCCTCAGAAAACGGTTATTAATAGGCTTACCAGTCTGAAGCGGCATATAATAGACATCAAATATTTCCAGGGAGAAGACTCCATGGATATTGGCGATTGGCATGAAGCCTGGACTCGATATCACCGTTTCGTCGAGACTCACGGCGATAAGGATTCAGCCATTCGATGGAAGAAGCACCACGAATTTCTAGCTGAACAAGACAACCTCAAGCGCAACTTCGCCGCTATCCTCAAATTTGATATTGAAACTCGTACAAAATACAATCTAACACCAAGCCCTCACGATGAGGATTCTTATAGGCGCCGCTTTGAAGCCATCAAGCTCGAGGTTCTACAAGCAGAAATTTTGGCAGCGAGGCCCTTACCTGACGCGGAATCGAATCCCAACGGCCCCTCATCCTCTTCTTGGAAAGGCAAGTCGCGTTATGCGCCTTATCATCACCGTGATGCAGAGTCCTCGTCTCGTCAGGCCGGGGGCCGTACTGAGAGTGCCGCCGCGAGTTCGAGCAATCATTCCTTTCGGTCCTCTGGCGCTTCCTTTGCCAATACTCCCATCTGTCTCATTTGTCAACGAGAACATCGCTTCGCGTCATGCCAGGAGTCGATCACGCAGGCAGGCAAACAGACGACAGCGAAATATGATAATCGGAAGCTCGTGCGACGAAGCGACGGAGGCATCATCTGTATCGCCTACAATCTCAATAGGCTCTCTATCTGCTCCAAGTCCCATTCGGACCATCACATCTGTTCCTTCTGCGGCGCTTCTGATCATGGCGCCTGCTCTCGCAAATGTATCTAAGCTCGACTCTACAACTTCATCAATTCATCTCTCGGCTCACTTGCGCTCGTTATCACTCCATGATTTGCTCGAACATCTCTCATTCAATCCAGATCTCACAATCAACGATCGCTTACCGTACTTTGACAATCTTCATCTCGAATTTTCGCCTCATGACTTCGACCCTGACTACTCTAAGATCAGGACTCCCTATAGCGCGGACGCCTTCCACGCCTATCTCTCAAAAGCACAAATCCTCAATCGTTATCCAGAACTTCCCTTCAAACTGACTCATGGCTTCCCACTCGGAAATATTGCCGATCTTGATACATCTTTTACTCCTGGCAATCTCGCCTCTGTTTCCCCTTATGATCATATTATCCAAGAATACATCTTTGACGAACTCAAACTCGGACGCCTCTCGGGTCCGTTCACTCAAAAAGAACTAGAAGCCAAAATCGGGCTGTTTCGTTCATCACCTATTCAAGTTGTCGTCAAGCCTGGTGAAGCCGGCGGTCCTGATAAATATCGTTGCTGTCGTAATCTCTCATATCGGGGAAACCTGGGTTTTTCTGTTAACGATGACATAAACTCAGAGGAGTACCCAACTCGATGGGGCACGGCGTCTGAGTGCGCCAAAATTGTATGTTTCCCATCATATCTATCATTTTCTCTGTTATTTCATATATCTATATCCCTTTCTTATTTGAGTCTCGTTCGGAAGTTCTTCGCGGCGGAGTTCACAACTCTTAGCTGCTTGAAGGACACGGATGACTTGGGACAAATGTTTTCTCATGTTTTTCGCTCATCTGTTAGTCATGGCTTATGCGAGTGTGTAGGTCTCGGCGGCGCCTCCAGGAACACAGGCGTGCACCCTTGATGTAGAAGGGGCGTATCGCACAGTTCCAGTCAGCCCTGCTTCCAAGCGGTACCTGATTGTTGAATTCAAGGGTTTGTTTTACATCGATCACAATGTACCATTTGGCCTCGCCTCTGCTTCAGGTTTACAAGGAGAGGTTGCAGATGCGACGGTTGACATCTGGCATAGTCTTCGCGTTGGGCCTGTTATCAAATGGGTTGATGATTTCAATGCTTTTCGTTATGCGAACAAGGCCGGCCTATTTTCTG